CGTAAGAGTGTTGTATGCAAGCGTTCTCGTGCCATACCCGTAAGAGTGTTGTATGCAAGCGTTCTCGTGCCATACTCGCATTAGTGTTGTATGCAAGCGTATCCTTGTATCAATTAATTGATTGATTGATTGAAATACTCGTTTATATTGGATGCGCGGTCAATTCACTATAGCTCCTTTGCTATTAGAACGTTGTCCTCCCATATACGACAATATCTATCAATGAGAYAGCAATGTTTTCAAATAGTTGTCCTTTCGTGATAAAGTCCTTTCGTGACAGTCAAGGGTCATGTCATAGTATATAGTTGTCCTTTTATTTAGCGCGCGCAACCTTTTTATGAAAGTTTCATGATAAACAGCCAACAGTAGATCACCCTTTAAGTTTGTAGTTGACAGCCTTTTCAGCCTGTCGATATACATTTTTGGACTTTTAGACCTGGATTATGGACTTGGTACAGAACTATACGTCAGAGAGACGATCGCGTGTGGCATCTTCTGGCCCATCTTGTTATTACATTTTCGCAGCACAACTTGGATAGAAATCCTCTTCTCTCACAGATCAGTCTCTCTTCACTTCAATAATAGTAGGAAATTAGGYCAAGTTGTTTGCGAATATTTTCTTCACATGATTGATCGAATTTGAATTGATCCCTTAAAAGGACAAGTGGGATTATCTGTGAATCCATGAGGCAAAATTCTAAAACACTTTGAATTATCTTCTAGATGATAAGAAGTATGCACTTGCGCATCGTAGGAATGTACCCAATGCCTTTGGCATTCTAATGTGTCTTCGTCCTTGACATCGTTATTATAGTTCAAGATTATAAAAGTCATGGTGGCTATCCTATGCCATCTTTCAAAGACGTTTATTAATTAGTGGGATTTTCGAATTTATATTAAGACATCGGGGGTTATACCTTTTATCTTCCAGAGACAATGGTGAAAGCGGCGGGATGCTAACCATGAGTGGACTATCACTTTATTGATCAGTGAAGAAACTAAGTTTCGTATGATACCTCTATAATGAGCATGGTTGAATTACGATTGACTACAGGGAAGAGGAGGTCACACGTAGCGACATTTTGTGGAACAGATAATTATGAAGTAAAAAACCATTTCTGTAACTAAATAAATAAAACGTGGTCATAGCGAAGACGTTCAGTTGCAGGTTATGTTCACGCGATGAAGCAAGTTGCGCGCATTGGTTCAGAACTACTTGTGCAAAGTTGCATGCGCAAACAACGTTCCGCGCAACTGTYGTAGAGCTAGATCRGGGTCGATCCAAGTTGTAATAGACCTCTTTAGCTGGGGCGTAATATTTTCTCATTCCACCACGTGTCATTCCCGAGAGTATGATTTCTTTGTTTAACGGTCGTGCAAGAAAAGACACAAATACTACTCAAACAAGCATCTCAGTTATTCTCAAGAGAATGACACGTGGCCTGGAAATGTTATTCCTTAGATCTTATTAACCGAGCGGRAGGTCTGTACGGGATAATCTTGACCGATGTCTGTACCCGACCGAGGTCAAGATTATCCCGTACAGACCGACGAAGCTCGGTTGATAAGAGTTTTATTATATGACCACTTTTCATTGAAAAGGACAAAATGTTTTCGCCGTAAGATTAATATGCGATCGGACCGGTTAATACCGGAGAATCTAGACCAGTCCGCGATACGATCTATCCAATCAGATCGCTCGATTTGCTAGTGTCCAGGCTCTAAGTTTCACGGTCATATAATAAAACCCGATATTGACTATTCTCTACTTTCACATCCCCATAATGCCTTGCTTCTTTGGGGGTAACCAATCAAAAACCTATACCTGCTTTTATCTGTACAATACTGATTATCAAGTTATTTTTGCTTGTACAGATCATCAAGAGTTTTGGTCTTACAGAAAATGTATTATAAAATATTTGGGTTTTTACCCTCTGGTTACCCCCCAAAGACGCGAAGTRTTATGGGGATGTGAAAGTAGAGAATAACTGTCATATGTAGAGATATCGAGACTTGATATTGAATGCCACATAAGCAATACCCCACCCCACTGTGTTAATTAAACAGATTCCACAGGAAGCCCAAGAAGAGAATTACTGAACAATCCAATATGGCGGCCTCCAWGAAAGAGAAGTACACACACTGAAAGATTTTCAAGGAAATTACTCGGATAAAAAAAACATATGTTGTGCAAAAAATTTGCTTCTCCTGGCAAGGTAAATATTCAATAATCTTTTATTTATAAATTTTAGAAGGTTAACCCGTTTTTTRAAATATAAAATGTAAAAAGTTATTCATGGACCAAGATACTAATCATCCAGGCTATAAACACTGCGTTTGGCCATATTCAATGCACGTTTTGTGGACCCTCTTAAAATTGTCTTGAATGCGAGGGTTTCATGGAAATATGAAAGAAATGCCGTAAATTCCATTGTGAAATAGTGTGATTTCTTTTGTATATTAAATTTGATGTAAGCCTCGCATTCAAAACAATCTTGAGAAGTGTTCCACCTAGTAGGCTATAAGTTATAGTCTTTTGTAGTGAGGTGAAAAAGTGCTGGCTTTGAAAACCAAAACACTGAATTTAACTTTAATTCAAAACTTGTTTGCATCTATATATTTGACCGACTAGTTGGATTTGACTAAAATAATTAGTCCTCATTGGCTATTGACTCCTAGGTCATTTGGGCTCGAGAACTAATTGGTAATCAGTCAATTCCAAATATCCCTATCCTCCCACTTCCTAATGTTAACCCCTGGGCATTTGATTTTTTGGGGGAAATGGGTTATTAAATTCCCCACCATTTAGGCCAATCAACTAATCAAACACCCCACCGTTCAGGTCCCACCAAGTGGACAAATGCCCCCCTCCCTCCCCCGCAAGCATTGGAATTGACTTGTACATTTTTTTAGTTGAATTTTTAATGTTCATTAGAATCAAGGGAGGTGTAGTGGTACTGCACTGGACTCTCACCTCTGATGTCTCTTGYCTATTTTTGGATTCTATTGTGTTTTACAGTTAATCTAATTTACAGYCAAACTAAGAAAACTGTGAACACTTAAAATATGCCTATAATGTTAAACATGTTTTCTCACCAATCACGTMTGACAGTTAATTAGAAATTAATTCATTCTCGCATGCGATTGGTCAGAACATGATGTTTAACATTCCAGACATATTTAAGGTGTTCAKGGTTTTTTWATTTCACTGTAAGACAAATATAAACTAAAGGAAACTGAAAAAAGTGCAAGTTGATCAACTTAAAATGGCTTAACAGAATTGAATTCATCAATGATACTAATACACTACATTTTGCATTTATTTTTTCATTTTGATTTATGCAGGTTATAATTCTAATTCAAAAGATATACACGTTACCTATCCATCATATGATAACTCCCATTACATGTTTTCTGAAAATCTCACATACAAACTTTATTTTATAGATCATTTATGTTTCTGCAACCTAAACAACCACAGTAGTCTGGCATTTTGGCTAAACCGTCAATCACATTTATGATGGGACAAGCAAATTCTGATTGTCAATGATAAATGTTCCCACAGCTTGACAGACTTTTTCACATGGAAAAGAAAGATTGATATCAAAATACATGTACTTCATCCCTGATATCTCATTTCTGTTTCCAGGTGAGTTGTCCCTAGTCATGATTAAGTCCCATTCCTGCTTAT